ACACGCGGGTTCGGATATAATTTGGGAGGAATATAGATTCCAGCCCAAGAAGCAAATTGTCATCCGATGAAGGTTTAGGGTGTAGGAAGTTCCATCAGATTTAGATATTAAGTTGGGGAAGAAAAATAATAAATGACCCATTTTTAAAGAAAATACTCATATTTTAAATATGTTTAATTAGTATTCTTCTTCTGCTTTGTTTTAAAATTATATTATTAATTAAAAAACATCTAAATTATCCCTAAAAAAAATTATGTATATTATCATGATTTGTCGTATCGAGGTGTATCGTTTGATACGGGCAATATGTACTGATCTAATAGAAGATCAATATGTGTGGTATTTATATGTCCCATTATATCATATGTTGGTACGATTGATATAACTCAAAATAACTCCATATATATCGTACTAATAGTTAGATTGTTATATCAATATGACAAACTATGCTTGTTACAAGGTTTTGGACTTGGGTTGTTATATTGCTTTTTTACTATCACAATAGAAACATTATAGAGTTTATTAGAAAAAAGTCAAATTGAATTAAAAAATATATATTAAAATAATTTGATATATTATGATTTAAATAAGTATTTATAATGATTTAGGAACAATATCACCTAAATAAAAAATAAAATTTGACTTGTTATAGTATTTTGACCATCATAATAAAAACACTATAGAACCCACTCAAAAATACTATAAATGATCAAAATGGACTCTTAATCTCAATCGAACTAACTATAAATATAAAAATATGGTATCATAATGATTTACGAGTAGCGACAACCAAAGATATACAATACGATATCACTTATAGTATTCTCAATACATCGATAAAAATATTATAAATGAGCCAAATAAAAATGCCATAATAGTTTAAAATTCATAAAAAAAAAAGTGAGAAAATTTGATGGGAATAGTTAGTGAGGGATATTTTAGATTTTTTAAATTAAATTTACTACTTAAAAAAAAAGTAAAAAGAGTATAGAGTGGAACATACTTAAAAATATATATATTTTTCTAGAAAAATTACCCAATAAAGAATCCCGGCTTACTTTAATTGGAATTATATATATAGTGATAAAAGATAACCACATACCTGTAATTTTTGTAATGGATAACATAGATGGTTTTGGATGTCTTAATAACTGAGTTTATATCTATGGAGTAAACTACAAACCATTCATCTATCAGCCTATATATTATTTTATATATCTCTCTGTGCTGTGGTGAGAGAGAAAAATCTTCTTCGCTTTCGCTAATAGTGATTCGACACATTATAAAATCGGATTGATAATCGTGAATGTATGTCTTATTCAGAAACATTCAGTATAATATTTCATCTTATCAACTCATTATAAAAAAATTATCTTATCCACGATAATCAAGATAAAATACTTTTTATTAAATTTACTCGATCATCGTCGAGATTAACCTAGTTTACGTGTACTTGAGGCATCCATCATCATTAGGATTGACTTGAGCCAATATCAAGTTGGAAAACCTATCCGATCTCAATTTATATGCATATAAACCATCTTATGTAGACTCAAATCGTATCCGATTGATTCGGTGTCACTTATATAAAAATATTATATAACCACATTCATGTAAATGGTTAGTTTCATAATTATTCAACTATTATATAATAAATTAAATATATGATATTTTCAAACTTAACTCGTTAAAATGAATGGATGAACTTAAGCAAACTCTACTTTCTAATTATTTTATTAAAAATTTTGAGGAGAGAGTAAAAAGAGTTTGGGAAGAAGTCCAACACTCCCTCACAAAAACTCAAATTTCATTAAATAAATATATAATATAAATAAATAAATAAATAAATAAATAAATATTAAAAAAATAAATTATATTAGTACATGAGTATCTTATTTATTCGTAGATTTGACCAAGATTTCAACTAACTCACACATAATATCTTATTTATTCATGGGAGATTCTAAGGATTGCCCAAATCTTTAGTTGTGACCATGGACGAATTCTATCAAACATGATATTTACATTTAGAGTTAAATTTTAAAATCAAATCTAGTTAAGATATTCTTTGAATTGATCTGAAGTGAACAGAACAAGTCTATCATGTAACGTATCACAAGATTGAAAATTTATGATAATAATGGATTATGATTCATTTTTATTGATTATGATACTAACCTATATAGACCTATTTATTGCAGTAAAATACATTATATATTTATACAGATACACATAAATATATATATAGATTTTTCTCTCAGAAAGCACGTGGTGTGAACCAGATAGGAGGCGGCCAGCTATACATGTAATCGGGCACGATAAAACCATCTTCAAGATTCGGTATGCTCGCACGATGAGGCAGGATGAGTCCATGTTTTAGGTGGCATATACCCACGACACCGTTCTTGGCGTAGTAGACACAGTCTGCTTTGAACTCGGGGAACGCCACCGTAGAGAGCGAGATACCGCGGTTCGACCCCACAAACAGTGCTCGCTCACCCAAGCTTTGCAGGGCCACCCATCCGCTCTCAGCCAGCCTGAACACTCGGAACCTTAGCGTTCTGTGTTCGTCTGCCTCAAGCCGATCCCTCCACCTCGATACCCGTAGCAGGTCGTCTCCTGATCCCACCAGGAAGTCGTCCAGTATGGATACGTCGATCAGCCGCGGGGGTTGGACGTTGAAGCTGACTCGAGGCGATGCGCCGTCTGTGAGATTCCAAGCGCTGACCGACCCATCGTTGTGCAGCGAGTAGAATTTCCCCCTGTGGTACGTCACCTGGCACGCCCAACTCTCGTTTTCTGTCGGCAGCAAAGACCACCGCTCGTCCCCTGCACTGGCGAAGGCCAACCGGCCTTGGTAGAACACGATCATCGTCGTCCATGAGTCTGAAGAGGAGGAGCACACGGTTACCTTGTCGTAGAGCATGCATCGCGTGGACTCGCAGCTGGTCTCGTATATCAGATACGGTGAGATACTAAAGAGATAGCCGGTGACTCGTCCATCGGTCTGTAGTACGGCAACGATGGTCGGGAGAGTAGTGATGGATGGGAGGCGGGCATGCGCTCCGGTGATGGGATTTAGCAGATGCAACTCGGCCTCCTGGTCGGCCGCAACCACCCATCCGGCAGCGGATCCCATCAGCACCAATCCGTCGTCCGTGGACTCCCACGGGAGACGGATATTCTTACGCCTTCTTCTCTCGGCGTAGCTGACGAGGTCGACCGATGGGAGTAAAGTATAGCCACCGCCATGACCACTGACGGGGAGAATCAGCCACGGGGGAAGAGGGCGAAGGTGATGGTGAGGGTTCCCGTCCACGGCATGCTGCCACGAAACGCAGACACACCTAAAGTTGATCTGATCCATTAGATCTTCTAGACATCCATGGATACACCTGATCAAGTCCGCAGGAAGGTTCGCCCAGTCCGCCATGATTGCTGTCCGATGAAAGCGAGAAACAGAAGATACGGAGGAAGGGTTTGCATGAAATGAACTCGTGTCCCGATAACATATATATATATATATATATATTTATATTTATTTATATTTATATTTATGCGCGTCTCTACGGTTGGGATTCACTTGCGGGTTCGGATGCTTCAGCCCAATGTTTGCTGAAGGAAATCGCTGCCATCCGACGAAGATTTAGGGTATGTGGGGTTCGACCGGATTTAGATATTATGCTGGGAAAGAAAAAAAATAAATGTCCCTTTTTTAAAAAGAAAATACTCACATTTTAAATATTTTTAATTAGTAACATTCTTTTGCCTTGTTTTTAAATTACATTCTTAATTTAAAAAATACCTAAATTATCCCTCAAATATTTTTCTTCTCATTACCGGGTTTTGAGCCTATACTGCTGTAGTGTTTTTGGTAATCACAATGAAAACATTATAAAGTTTATTTGAAAACACTATAAATGAGTTGAATGAAATCAAAATATTAAAAATTATTTGATATATCATTTAAATAGATATTTGTAATAATTTGGGAATAACATCATCCAAATAAAACTTAAAAATTGATTCTGTACAGTATTTTGACCATCATAATAAAAATATTATAAAATTCACTTAAAAATTATAAATGATCCAAATAGACTCTTAATTTCAATTAAACTAAATATAAATATAAAATTATGGTATCATAATAATTTATAGACAATGGCAAAAAAATAATATAATATCATTTACAGTATTTTTAATACATTAATAAAGATACTGAAAACGAGTCAAATGAAAATATTGTAATATCTTAAAACTAATAAAAAATAAGTAAATTTTTTTATAGGAATAATTAGCGAGGAATATTTTAGATTTTTTTAAAATTAAATATACTATTTAAAAAAAGTATCGATTAGGAAATACTTTATATATAATATGTATATATATTACCGAATACAGAATTTTTCTCATTTTAATTGAAATTATATATAGTGAAAAAAAGATAACCACATACATGCAATGTTTGTGACGGATGATAGAGATGGTTTTATAAGATAAAATGGTGCTAATAATCGAGCCTATATCTAAACGGGAAATCAAGGAATACTCTATTCAGAAACATTTTATATAATATTTCTCTTATGAAACCATTATAGAAAGTTATATTAGACATGATAACCAAGATAAATTATTTATTTTTATTACATTTACTTCATCATCGTCGGAATTACTTGAGCATATATTGAATCGAAATATTAATTCATCTAATCTTAATCTACGTGCATCTTAGGACTCCATCATTGTTAGAATGGTGGATTAGAATGAACCCCAAATGTAAAGGACGCTTAATGGAGGATCAGCGACGTCTTGGGAGTCACCGTCCCCGTGGAGAGGTTCCACGTATTATCACGCCATCCGAACCGTCCATTAAGCGAAAAACCTGATTAGACCGTCCGATCAGCGTCACGATTCGTGCGCTCGAAGATGCGTTCATCTCTCCCTGTCTACGGTTTTCCGATCCTTGATGACATTATATCAGATCACCTATCGTTGGAGAAACCTTGTGCCCTTGGAGTGCGGCGACCACCGAGTCTACGGCCTAGTCCACCACCTTTGGATCTCGCCCTCGTCATTCTCGGAGGGAGACTGAAACCCTAACGCTAGCTTCTGCTTGGTCCCTCCAGGGTTCCCCTCATGGCGTCCTTCGTCGTTTGATGCGTGGATCAAGCTTTTCTCGACGCAAGTTCGAACGGAATCTTCTAAGATTCGAGATGGAGCTTCGCTGTCGATCGTGGGTTTTGGGGGCGTTGTTCATCTCTCTTCTGTTCTGCGGCTTCGGGGGAAGCGGATGCCTGGGTTTTGCCTTTAACCGCCGCCCGAAGAACGTCCAAGTCTCGCTCCGGGCTAAGTGGGCCGGAACTTCGTTGTTGTTGGAATCAGGGTGACGTAGTCTATTCCTTTTTATTGCGATCTACTTGTTATAAAGCTGAGCAATTTGGAAACCGACTGATTTTCTATCACTTTGATGGCACTTCCTTATTCCCATTTTCTTGAATTTTAATGTTATCGGTTCAGAATTATGACCTTTGCTAAATTTGGAGCATTTGCAGTAGTGTGAATATTATTAATGAGATTCGAGCATGTTGTAGGTAGCTTTTCATGCTATTCTTATTAATTATGATGCGTCAATAGGATAGTGCGAAGCTTAGAACTAGTTGTTACAAATTTTAGCATGAGAAAGCATCAAAATTAAGTTTATTTAGAGAAAATGTTATGATAAAAATTTTATGTAATTTTATTTCCAAATGAAGTACATAATTTCTTATCGGTTGCAGGTTTGCCTTTTCTTCATAATTTTATTCAACAATTTAATAGATTACTCTTTCAACAGGGAGTTGCTGGCTAAAGAAAGAAAGGACCTATTCTGGGAGTTTATTAATCTCTGGTTAGAACCAGATAAAGGTTCGGATTGTTTGACAGCTAGATGTTGCATACAAAAAATTGTTGATGATGGCCGCACGCTTCTAAGCGAACCTTTGGCATCAGTTTTTGAATTTTCTCTTACTCTTCGATCGGCATCTCCTCGACTAGTGCTTTACAAGCAATTGGCAGAGGAGTCATTAGCTTCTTTTCCTATAAATGATGAAATTAATTTAGTACCTATTACTGGAGAAAAACAAATTCCAGATGAAATCGAAGCATATTATCTGTCGACAAGCACAACCACAAGAACCCATGGAAGACATTGTTGCTGGGTAGACACTGGCAGTGTGTTACTGTTTAACACCGCTGAACTTCTTGCTTGGATTGAAACCTCATCAAACATGTAAGTTGCATTTATCTGCGTTGTTTTTTTGTCAACTTTTTTGCGTATGTCCTGAGCACGCTCACTGGTTAAATGTTGTCAGATCTGTTGGATACTTGGAGCAGCCTGAACTTTTTGAATTTGACCATGTGTATCTGGCTTCGAGTATCATCAGTCCGGTTGCCATTTTATATGGAGCTATTGGGACAGAATGCTTCAAAGACTTTCACATTATCCTGGCAGAAGCATCAAAACAGGTCTAAACATATTGCCATTCCATTTTTATTATGCAAAGAATCTCTGCATTGGCTGGAGTCCAGTGCATTGGGCTGCCCATTCTATAGATATATTTTTGGTTTTTAAAATTTATAATATAGTTATATATTCCCAATTAGAATGTTAAATTTGTCATTCAATATCCAAAACTGATCATGCAGTCCTGCCTATCGTACTGGTTTGCTGGCTAATCATTTACCAGCAATCACCAATGCTAAAACCTTACAGGATATTCCATGAATATGATGCACTATCAAGTTACTGTTCCATATTCCGTAAATCAAGCTGAGAAGATCTAATTTTGCTTTCTTTGTTTAAAGTTCCTTTCTTTAATGGTAAGTAATAACAAGAATATGGGCACATCAGACCTATTTAATGAAAAAGAAGCTATTTCACATCGAAGGCTTTAGGCATTGATAACTGACATTGAATAGAGAAGATTAAAATGTAAAAATATTCTTTGTTTTTCTCTGTTTACATCCAAGTGTTCTTAGAGTCTTTGATATGGCTGATAGAACGATGGGAAAATGCAAGTGCAAAGTAAGCCATCCATGTTTACAATTATCAATAATGCAAGATCCACCATCAAGAAAGAACTGTTTTGCTGCATAGAAGATCCACCAAGGAATATCTGGTATTACATATTTATTTTATATGAATATGTACTTTTCTATTATCTACCTTTGATGAGTAGATGGCCAGGGCATTTGTTTCCATATCCAAGTGGCACCAGATATAGTTCACAAATGTGTATCTTATTTATCCCTATTGATATTTGAATCTATTCAAATTTTTCTGAAAATGGATGTACATGGCTGCATGGGTTCAGTTCTAGACTTCTAGTTATAATTGGTTATTTGAATATCTGAATATATCCAAAAGTGTCAACCTGTATTAACCTAAGACCAGATGCCATCAATACTATATATCTAAATTTTCAAAATCTTTTTCCTCTGTTTTTCATTGTACTCTTATCCTAGATGTAGGATTTATACCTTTGTCTTTTTCAAATTTTTTTGTTATGGATATTTCCTATTTGTATTTGACATAAGTATGATTTGAATCTGTATTCTGCATATACCTGTTTGCTACCCACGCTCATATTAAGAAAATGTGGTTATATAACAATTTAGCAATTAGTATCTGGATCAAAATTCATTACCAGGATTTCGAAGTGGCAATGGATATGCTTTTTCCAATATCTGGTCTATATACAATTTGTTTCTGTACTAGGCTAGAAGTGTTGTTTTTCACACATACTCGTATGGCATAAATGTGAAAATTAGAGCATTCTACCTTCGGATTATCATGATTCTCATTAGTTTTGACTGTTCTATAAGAAAGCAAGTTGTTTTCTTTTATCTTTTGAATTCTTGTTTTCCTAACTTATACTGTTTCCTTGTGTCATTTGGTAACAACTTATTGACTTCTAATTATGTATGACAAATTAAGTTGGTGTATTGCAATTTCTTTTGGACTTAAGATGCTGTTACCTCTAGACTATTTATCAGGTAAATTTGTGGTTTTATTATGATCCTAAAATTTTTTGTTACTATTACATGCTTTTCTGGAACATAGTATTTTCTTATAGTTTATACTTTGTTATGTTGTCTGTCTCTTTCTTTGTCTGATTATATAATCAAGTATTGCCTTTTATTATTAGGGAAAAATTAAGTATGTTGTCAGACCTGTACTGCCTCCTGGATGCCAAGCAGTTAGCAGCTATTGCAGTGCTGTTGGCTCATCTGATGCAGTCAACTTGGGTGGTTATGGAGTTGAACTTGCTTTGAAGAATATGGAGTACAAGGCAATGGATGACACTACGATAAAAGAAGGTCATATATCATTTTGATAAGATTGATATGCTTTCATGTTGAAAATTCAGCTTCTTGGCTGTTAATTAAAGCTTTCGTACAATGCAGTAGCTATATCTCTTGTGACCTAAAAGTTTGCCTTTTCCTTTGTTTGAAACAAGGTTTTAAATATTTGTTCAATGCCTGATCGTTAGCCTTTTGAACTAGTATGCACCAGTTGGTATGCTGTGGTATCGGAAAAGTTTGTGAAGGAGAAGAAGAGGACAAGTTTGTGACAGAGAAGGAGAGGGGAGAAGATGGCGGAGAAGAAAAGATGGTGATGGGCAACGGGGACAGCAGCTGTGTGATAGAGAGGCACACTAAAAGAAAAAAAAAAGACCAGGCTTATAAGTGGAATACAGGGCTTACTGGATGGTAGATTCACAAGTGGACCGCTTGATTCCAGGAGGTCCATATTCTGGTCTATGGGTGGACCTATATATACCGGGTGGTACATACTGGTCCACCTGGGTTTTCAAACCATGAGTACAGTACCATCCGGACTCTTAAAAAATTGACAGTATCAATTTTTTCACCCCAATCTGATGTGAATAACATATAGTAGTCTATAAAATAATATTTTTCCATATGTTTTAATTATATTTGGAAGATAACAGGAAATATTTCTATTACCAATATCTACTCAATATGCTCATTATGGATGATGACGATGTTTTCTTAGTATTTGTTTGTTTACTTTATTTGGATAAAAGTTAAAACTTGTTGTCGTGTTATTATTTTCACTTCATTGTTCCATTATTCGATAATGAGCTTATGATGTAATTGCCAGTGGCACATATTACATTGTTATAATATTGTTTGAGGTTCTGTCCTATGCCATAAATATGCTGACACACTGTTGGCTTGGTAGAAGGCCTAAGCCGGTCAGCATAACTTGGTCCATCATGATAGGTCTGTACTATTAGCAGCAGTCCCTTTAGCATGAAATCTGAAACCTTGATTTAGATAATTGCCTGTTTGTCGCAGGTGTTACACTAGAAGATCCTAGGACTGAGGATCTCAGCCAAGAAGTTAGAGGATTTATTTTTTCCAAAATCCTGGTTTGTTCCTAAAATTAAACAGCCCTGAACGAAATCTAGATTTGAGCTTAGAATTTAGATTATTCTTGATTATTATTCATTTTGTAATTATTCTCTCGCGGCCTACAGGAACGCAAGCCAGAATTGACAACTGAGGTTATGGCTTTCAGGGATTATTTGTTGTCATCAACTGTATCTGACACCTTGGAGGTTTGGGAACTTAAGGGTATTGATGAACTATAATTTGATTCATTCATTCTCCCATTTTTGGATATTATGTCACGTATGATTAGTGTGTGTGTTTGTCATTCCAAGCTTTTCTATCCCTGTTTCTAACTGATGCCTGTTAATCACTTATTCTGCAGATTTAGGACATCAGACGGTACAGAGGATAGTTCATGCTTCTGATCCCTTGCAATCAATGCAAGAAATCAATCAAAATTTTCCAAGTATAGTTTCTTCATTATCTCGTATGAAGGTAAAGCTTCCAGCTTTCTGCTTTATATTTTGGTAGGTTCATACTATTATACATGATATTAAAGTTGGATACAGATGCTAATATGTGCTTATACGCAGCTTAATGATTCTATCAAGGATGAGATACTTGCAAATCAGAGAATGGTTCCCCCTGGCAAGTCTTTAGTGGCTTTGAATGGTGCCCTGATCAATATTGAAGATATTGATCTTTACCTGTAATGTTTCCCATCCATTCTAATTTTGTTTAAATTTCATGTTAAGCCTAGGCAAGCTTGTATCTTTCTACTGTTATACTTGAATCTTTTAATGTCACACCTTAGAGTTATGCTGGTCATTGTTCAGCATCTGGTTCTTGTCACAAAGTAATATACTAGTTTCTTTTATGAAGCCAAGTGTGAGTTTTCTTATTTACCTGTATGTTATATTACTTTAATACATTAGTTGATTTATAGTTAGCTAAATTGAGTTATATTTTAGTTTTTACTCTAGAATCTTTTCCTTAAACACAGTCACGTTTTAAATCATATTAAGATAATTTCAATTAAGTTTATTTGAATATAATTTGAATCCAATGTCTTATTAAGCGGCAATACAAATAATGTTAGTAGGTGCAGTATAGTTTTGAAATTAACGTTGGAATTTAGGGTTAGGATTGGATGATAGAATGGACCATGCTATTAATAATAACTTTAAAAAATAATAGGAATTTCAAAACCAAAACCCATGTCTGGGAATTGTTCTTGCTACAATTCTTCACCCTATTTTCTTCGTGATTTTCCTTTTTTAGATGATTATCCATTAATTTATTGTTTTCTTCACGAAATTAATAATATGAAACTCCCACTCTGTTGAATATATGAATAATTATGAACTTGACTGGTCATCTTGGCCATAACACGAGAGCATCTGGTATAACTGGCATCAATCCCAGCTAATTAGTGCCTCAATGGTTTACACATTAGTTACACATTCCTTTTCGGAAAGCTGCATTAAGGAGGTTGCCATGCTTCTGTTTTGAAAAGATTACAGTACTATGATATAAGGTTTCAAATATTACAGTATGCCTGTCGGACTGTGCATAACGATTTAACAATGTACTAGTGCACTTGTATATTGGTTGCACCAATATGATATTGAAATCCTAAGCAGTTTGTACTTTGTAGTAACTAGTAACTATGTTGGAGTTCTTAGGTATTATATAATACTGATTGTTATAATGGCAACATATCATTGCCTCCTCCGCCTTCAGTACTAGTGCCGACGTATCTTTTTTTTCTTCCCTTCTATTATGAATGATGAATAGAAAATGATGAAGAAATTATTTATATTATGAGAATAATGATAAATATAAGAACAAAACATGTCTTAATTTCTTTGCTCGATCATGGTTTGAAGTTTCACTTTTTATGGTAGATAGACATTTCAAGAGTTCCATTGTTTTCATTTGATTTTTGACTTTTTCAGTTTCGGTGATGATAATTCTTAGGGAGGTTCAGAATAATTTAGATAAATTATAAAAGCAAGTGTAATTGGAAATGATTTTTGGTCATGATAGGTCTTAGGACATGTTATTAACTCATGCTATATGAGTAATTTACCTTTAAAATTTGAATAACCCAGTATGTAATTCAAAATGTTATTTTTTTGAAGTGCATTTGAAAAATTCCTTCAAACAAAGTGAAAAATTATATATTTTTATTTGGCTTGGCAATGAATTTTCAAAATTTTCTTTCACCTAGAAAGACATCGAGTATTCAATTTGTTCTTCCAATCCTTTATGTTTCTGGGACTTCTATCAACCCTACTAATTTCATGCTAGCATCCTAAATTTAGGAGGGTATAAATGTTTGTGTGCATGAGTCTTCCTAGGCCTTGCATTGGTGGTTCTCATGTGCCATCCGTTTTGTATTAATGTGCTTCGACACTTGGGGTTGAGAGCAAAGCATGGGACACTATTCCCAAGAATAAATGCAAAAAAACTTTATTGTTGTTCTCCTTTATATTAGGCGAGCAGAGGAAAACTAGATGTGGAAGCGTATTGGTTAAACTTGCATACAAGTACATTGCACCGCAAAGTCTAGCTCTCAATTGTGTTCCACCTATATCTAATTCGGAGATTACAGATGGTATCTGCATGAAAGATTGGAAGTGGACCTGCATAGGAGTGTTTCAACTTTAATGAAAAACTGACTAAATGCTCATTCTTGTTATGATTTATGTGAGTGGGAACCTAAACAAACTTTTATTGTTGGAATCAGGCTTTTGATGTTCACAATGAAAAACAGAATGCTTGGAGTGATCATTGAATTTTTCCTGTTGGAGTGACCATAGAAATAATTCCTTTCCATATTCTGCAATTTTTGAGGAACAATTTCCATTATACTTTGTCTCATTTCCTTTTATGATATTGTATATTAAATAAACATCACAATCTGATTATAATGGATGCATCTATTTTTTGTTTTGTAGGTTAATGGATCTTGTTCAACAAGAGTTATCATTTGCTGATCACTTTTCAAAACTCAAGGTGATTTATGCTAAGTAACTCGTGACTTGTGTATTGTAAAATTTCATGGTTGCACATTAGCCTCATGTCTTCAGTTTTCTCATTGTTAATGTTCTATCTCAGTATCTAATTTTCTGTTTTCTTTTGCTAGTCCCATAATTATGCTAATGCTTATTTATGCTTACATCTTTGGTTGTAGCAAAACTGTGAACCATTTTATGGAACAAAAGGTATCCATGTGTTTGTTTTGGAATTTTTTAAATTATTTGTGGTATGCGTACACTACACCTATATGACTATTGACTCTAGCTGTATCTGAATAAAATATTGCTGCAGTTTGTGTTGCTGTACCCAAGAATTAACTTAGACTACTATATTGATTTTCTTTATCTTGCTAAGATGCCAATTCGGCTTACTATTGTTCTTTATTTTGATTAACATAATGTTACTCTTTTTCTTCTTTTGATGCAGTGAATTTCTTAAAGTATATTCCATTATAGTTGCTCAGAACAAACTACTACTGATTTTTTTTCAGCTTCCTTTGAGTGCTATTCAGAAACTGTTGTCAGCAGCACCACCTTCTGAATCTAATGCATTTCGCATTGACTTTCGTTCTGGACATGTTCACTATCTGAATAATTTGGAAGAAGATGCCATGTACAAACGTTGGCGAAGCAATATCAATGAGGTGCTTCTTTTCCGTTTGGGTTTGAGCTGAACAGATCTCAGATTGATAATTTGTGTTTGTTTAAATCATTTGTTTCTGATGTTGTAGATATTGATGCCGGTTTTCCCTGGTCAGCTTCGATACATTCGAAAAAATTTGTTCCATGCTGTTTATGTAATTGATCCTGCAACAAGCTGCGGAGCTGAGGCATGTTTACTATATTCTTCTTAGATGAACACATTTAAGATTTGTTTGTGTATTCCTCTGTACTTTTGACAACTCACATAAAATTCATGCAGTTACAATATTTCTGATAGTTTCTTTTTCCTGAAATTTTTTAGACCATCGACATGATTCTGTCACTGCATCAAAGTAGCATTCCAATGAGATTTGGCATAATACTGTATTCTTCGAAACTTGTCAAGATGATAGAAGAAAATGGTGGCCATCTTCCCTCATCTGCTGTACAAGATGACAAGAAAAGAACAGAAGATGTTTCCAGTTTGGTAAATTGTTCGTTCACTTTTAGGTTTTTTTCGTTATATCTTGTCCTTGAAAATGGATTGGCTTTTTGATTCCTATATCTGTATTTAGATGTGGAATATCCATCTATCAATTTTGATAGCATCTACAACTAAAAATAAGTATGATAAATTGATAATATTCAACTATATATGACCTCTTACACTTAGATGAGTAGATCCAAGGATTACAATTTCGAATAATATTGCCCGTACTGGGCGGTACGTACTGGTTCGTCAGCAGACTGTTACACGAACCGTCCACTACCGAGCGATATTATATATATAATATATATATATATATATTATAATATATATATATATTATATAAATATGTGACGTCGTCGAAAAAGGGACGCCACCTTTTCCGGCAACGTTGCCGAAAAATTCTTTTATATATATATATATATATATATATATATATACCGAATGGTATACAGTACCGTACTGTATCGAGCGAATGTCGAAACTTCGGTACGGTATAATATTTCAATCCCTGAGTAGATCAATGTTTAAATTTCAATCAGATTTTGATTTCAGTATTCTACCGGACCGGTATGTTACTAGTGTACCGGTGATATACTAACCTGTACCTTTCTGATATCCCCTGGTGCGGTATTGATGTATCATATGCTATACTGGCCCATACCATCCATCAATTTTGATAGCATCTACAACTAAAAAGAAGTATGATAAATTGATAATATTCAACTATATATGACCTCTTACATGTAGATGAGTAGATCAATGTTTAAATTTCAATCAGATTTTGATTTCAGTATTCTACCGGACCGGTATGTTACTAGTGTCTTGGCAATATACTAACCTGTACCTTTCCGATATCCCTTGGTGCGGTATTGATGTATCATATGCTATACTGGCCCATACCATCCAGTATCAACTACACCATTAAACAATTACTACCAACCGCTGATATTGTTTGATACCTATCCTTTGTTGGACTAGTAAATCCTGGTCTTTACTAATATTTGAAATGTTGATGTAGATACTAGTGCACGTTTTTCTATAATCATCTGCTACAACATTGTCAACAAAACAAGCGGTGATGTCCCAACTATTTAGGATCATCTAGATGTATCTTTTGTCGCCATTGAGCCTGGCATAGAGCAATATTTTCAGTTAAATTAAGAATATATAAATCTTTGTTTATTGTTTCTTAGAAAGTCTTCATAGGTCTCTCCCTCGCTCTCTTCGCACTATTATTTAAAATTATATTTTTACTAATTGTCATACCTCTTCTAGTTGACAACTATCAACCTTTTTAGTGCATATTAAATGATTCTCTCGTTTTATGTCTGATTTATATTATCTTAAATGTCTATCTCTCATTTTACCTCTGATTTGTATCATTTTAAATGATTCTCTCTCCCTGCCTTCTTTCTTTGACTGTTGTCTTCTCTCTCTGACTGTTATTGGTCCTCCAAATGCCTCTCCTTGCTTTCTTTCACTTGTCATCTTAGCCTTTCACACTACCCTTACCTAAGCTAGTAGCAACTCTTCGGGCCATTGTAAACTTGCATGCTAAAAGTTAGGTGCTGTTATCTCTCTTTTTGACATAATTTAAGGTTTTCTGTTGGATCTGGATTTTTCCTGTAAATCAACCTTTTCGGGTCAACTATCAGTGACTCAAGTGATAAATGAACAAGTGTCCATTATCATTTGATCCTTTTTGGGTCAACTTTATATCAACCTCAGATGTGGGGCTTGATTGTCTCTTTTTGTATAACATCTAGAAGTTTCTGACTAGATGCATCTCTTCATGATTCTGTGCATGATCTTGCTGTGGAGTAAATTACATTATGCGGAGTCCTTTTGTTTTTTTACTACTCCAACTTGTATTTTATTTTTTCTTAATGTTTGACTGTGAGCTTGCTTTGCTTATTCTCCTGCACTTGTTAGCTTTCCTTTTACATTGATATACTTCTAATTTTCTTCTTTTGCTTTTTGTGTCCTTATGCAGATTATACGTCTTTTCCTGTACGTTAAGGAGAACTATGACACTCAATTGGCATTCCAATTTTTGGGCAATGTATGCCATATTAGTTCTTTGCAGAATTTTTGTTTTTAGTTGCAGTGAAATTGGTATCTCTTCTGAGTTTTGACAATTGCATTCAATCTATTCTTTAGATAATCTCATGATGTTTAGCTTCTTTGTTTTTCATTTTGCTGTTGCATTTTTCTATTTTTAGAAACCAAATTCTGCTAAAACTTGAAGTTGATAATTTTTTTTGCTAGTCTTAAAGGCTTAATGCAACTTTGTATGAGAACTTTGTGAGGAATATCTGCTGCTTTGCTGTCAAATAAAATTTAAGCTCTTAGGATCCTTAAATTGAAAAAAAAATATTAGTGTATATAGAATGCTGATAGACTGGTATCTTTAAGTTGCAGGTGGTTGTGGTTGGGCACACCATGGAGGGGAAAAACCTGATACCTTTAAAAAAACTAGGACTACAATTTTTAGAAAGAAACCAAACTAGAGTGCCTAAAATGGGATGGTCTGTATCCCAATTCATGCTCAGACCACTAAATACCAGTCCGTATGGACCTGACTAGGTAAATTAAATTATCTGCTTGTCTCTCCTAGCACCAGATATTTGTTCTCTCCAATTTAGGTCCACTAATAAAATTATAGACTCTCTTAAACGTTATATACTGCTTGTCATAGTCCATGTACTGCTTTAGACTGTGGCTTGCATGTATAGAATAATCTCTGGGAACTAGGATGAGTACATTAGCATGGATTATTGTCTCTTGTCAATCAAGATAACTGAAGTATGGCTAAGCCTCAATAGAAAACCTAACCCTAGGGTTAGGTTTAGGGTTGACTCAAGAGTCAAGGAAATGATAATTAATGATTAATTTCTTGCTTTATCAATTTATTGACGTATATTGGTATACTTAGTCCCTTAATTATCTGAGGAAAATTGTACTCTTGAAGATGAATAAGTCATGCTTTAACTAACTCCAAATGATGAACCCCATGATATCAGCAGCATGGTTAGCTCATGACCTTTATTTTACTTCCGATGAAATTTATAATAGTTTTTCTTGGACAAGGATTGCCATTTCATGGATTGGGTACAGATGCCCTTCTATGCTATTTGGTGTGGCCCTATGTTGGTCGGTGCATATCAAATGTTAACTTAGCCTAAGTTGCCCATGGGCACAACTAGTTGGCAGGACACATGCTATTGTGCTAGAATGACATCTATTCATCTGCTATCTTATTTGACTTGTGTTGCAACCCCTTCTAGAATGACATCTACTCTTGCATGTGCACTTATGAGTATGAATAAACATCTATTCTTACTTGCAACATCTTTTCTTTCTCTTTATGTTATGAAATTATGTTATTTTGTTTTTCTCACTGTTAACTTAAGCATTGTACAAATGCATTTTGCGCATGATTTTAATATTTTGTCATCTAGATAATTAAAGTGCTCACATGAAGTTATACATGGTCAGTGGATATTAAAGTCTAGTCTTATACATGACAGCTTGTGATCCTTCTTGTATGTGGCATTTTTGCATGTTCTCATGTGACTTCATCTTGAAGTTGTTCTCTTCATGTTTAACTTGAGCATATTATGCAGTTGTTTTTACTTTTTTTGTTTGTGATGTTAACTTCTTTTCCATTGGATGATTAAAAGCTATGCAGAAGTAGTTATGAAACCCTAGTTTTATATACTATGCATTATAAATTTTCTTTTTGATGTGATAATGGACAAGGTCTGGTTTTGGTTGCCAATAATTGTTGAAGAATATGTCCAATGTATTACAGGTAAACAAGTTATGGAATAGTGGGGATGATTTTGGTGAAGAAAACCTTGAAGCACATCATGTTGAAGGGGCATTTGTGGACTCTCTCTTGTACAATCCTATGCTATTTTTGAATTGTGGACACTACGCATCTTTAATTTTACAAGAGATCAAAAATTTGTGGTTGACATGTATTTTGATTTTTTCAGATCAAAGGCAAAATCTCCTCCTCATGATACATTATTAAAGCTTGAAAAGGAACTAACCTACAAAGAAGAGGCTGATGGCAGCTCTCTTTTTGTCTTTAAACTCGGGTTATCTAGATTGGAATGCTGCTTATTGATGAATGGTCTTGTATATGAAGCAAATCAGGTTAGTCATTACATTATTTGTACAATGTTATTTTTTATTGAATGATATGACAGGCCAATCTGTATCATATATCAGTCCAATATGGACTCTAGCATGGTATATCACAGTACCATAAAAAAATTACATATATTTAGTGTTATTATTACTTGGGCATGGTGGTCAGTAAACCATGTACCTATTTGGTTGGTGAACTTCGATCAGGATGGCTTGGTATCTGCACCATTGTAATCTCAATAATGCTTTTCCGTGGGACTTAGATTAAGTGTTGTATGGTTTGTAGAACACTTAGATTGAGTAAATTATGATATGTTTAAGACGGAGGCCTTCATTTTGGGCAACATCATTTTTTGATTTCTGGATGACATAGCAAGGATAATAGATGATGACGTTGTCAAATTCTCATGGACTTGATAAATCAGCTGTTAATTAGTATTAAAATTTCATAAGACATTTTAAGTTTCAGCCTTATATCAAGTTAATAGGGATAATAGTGTTTTCTTTGGCATGTGCACCAAGCCTTCTCACAAGCCAGATTAGGCTACTTGTTAATTGGGTTTGGGATGGTACGAGAAGGAAAACAGATCTTAAGTCGGGTTTGAGACTAGTTAACTTAAGAGTTTAGACAATTACTAAAGTCTCGGTATGTTACCTATACTTATCAATACCATAGCATACTCTGTCAGTGTAGTATTGGTACAATCAGTACTACTTTTGGTCCCCTAACATCCCCATTCAATCCTTATTAGAACTTATTATCAGGGTTTTCCGAATCGGGTACGAGACCCGATTTGAAGATTTGTCGGGTCGGTATGTACCAGTGTATCGACACACGGTACACTGGTAAGTATCGGTGTTTCGGAGAGTAAGAAAAAAAGGGAGAAGAGGAAGGGATAGTAGAGGAAGGAGGAAGAAAGAGGGAAGAAGAGGAAGCGGCGGAAGACGGGAGGAGGAAGAGGAAGAGGAGAAGAGACTTACCCGAGATGTGGTGGTGTGCAGTGAGGTCACGGCAAGTGGAGGTCGTCAGTGGTCGACCGTGTGAGAAGCATTGATTGTAGCATCGGAGGCGATACTCGCTAGCCCTACGTAGGCGGTGCTTGATTGAGATGTCGGAATTAGGTTTTCCCACTTCCCTTTTATATGGCGGATCGGATCGGGGTGGGTCCGCGTATTGATCATCGCTTGGATCGGTACGTGCCGCTCATTTCGAATTGGTTCGGGCGAAACGACAATCACCACTTATCATGAACATGCCATAAACACATTCATAAATCATTTATAAAAATTTCATTAGTTATATATTCATTAAAAATATATGTTAGAAACTTGTAAGTATATGAATTTAATTACTATATAAACCATACATTATTAGTGGGTAGCTACTAGCCATTTTGTACATATAGGCAAAGTAGTCTTACTGCTCTAGTTATGTGGAATTAGTTTTGTGCAAGAAATGCGATCTAGTGTCGGACCCAGTATTGGACCCCTATCGATCCCTAGCTGGACTGACACTTGGTACATCAGTATGTACTGACTTCTAAAAAAGGGCTAAAAATTTAGCTGAAAATTGAAAAATTAATAAAGGAGGTGACGGTCAAGGGAATGAGGAGGAGGAGAGGCGATGATGCATGAGAGGAGGGAAGTAGGAGGAGAGGCGGGGATGTAGAAGGAGAGAAGGGAATGAGGTGACATAGAAGAAGGGGAGGAGAGGCGGTGGCACAAAAGGAGAGGAGGGAGGGAAGCAATGGAGGAGGGAAGGAGGAGAAGTGATGGCATAGGAGAGAAGGGAAGTAGGTGGATGAAGAAGGGAGGGGAGAAGGTGGTGGTGGATGAGGAAGAGGAAAAGAGGTCAAGGATGAGGAGGAAGAGAAGAGTATTGAGGTGACATAGAAGAAGGGGAGGAGAGGCGGTGGCACAAAA